CTGATTAATACCTAATTTTTGCATCTAAGGAATTGTATTTTTTCTTAAATCACAGTTTTATGTTCTACCATAAGGGTTTCTGAGCTATCATTAGAGTCTATGTAGAAAGTAACTGCAGAACCAGAAGATATCTAAGAAGTACATATGGTAGGCCTTTCCTGTTCCTTAATTTAAACATTACTTCTTTGCTTGCAGTCGTGCAAGGTGAGGAAGACACACATGCCAAGTGCATCAACTTACCCTAAGACTGCGGATCTCGCGATCTTTATCCTCTCTCAAGTTATTGATCATCTCTACGTAGCGGCTGGAGAGTTCATCTGTGGTGGTCTGCAGTGTTGGACTAGAGCAGGTCTACAAGAAAACAATAGTAATTTATTTAAAAACAAAAAAAAATCTTCGTCATTGATTTTTCATACGTTATTGCACCTGTATCTATCTGTGAGTAACAGCTACTGAACACAGAGTAAAAGTGAGCCCGTTACCTGTAGTTTAAGGCTCTGGATCTCCTGCTCCAAGGCACGCTTGCAGTACTCCAGTTCCTTTAGCTGACAATCCTTTTCTCCCTCACTGAGCCGAAGAGAGAGGAGCTGTTCTTCCAGAGAGCGACATTTTGCAGTACTCTCTCTGAGGCCTTGCTGGGAAGCACAGAAGTGGAAAAGAATGCACGGTGTTGCTTAAGGAAGTAATAGGATCACACACATACCCAAACGTACACCCAGCAGGCATACTGGCTGGCTTTTGGCTGACTGTAATTACCCTGGAAATAGTTTTTGATTTACCTGCTGCTGACGATTATTCTCTCTCAGAGAAGTCAACATGGTTTCATATTCTTTTACTTGAGAATCTTTAAAAGCCAAATCCTTCTTAAGTAAGACACTGTCAGTTTCTAACTTCTGTAAGACAAAAGCATTTATGGTCAAGAGCTGTAATTTTTCAGTAAACTTTTCCCACATTCAGAGTACAACACACAAAGTAATTAGTAAGTGATGTTTTACAACTGAGAAAATATTCCATTTTCTTGGAACTATGTCCTCCTTTAACTACATAGCGCAGAGCTGCCCATCACTCCAGTATCTGTGGCTTTGCGTTGTGTGGTAGGCACCGGGATCCTACACACTGCTTTCAGTCTGTCCCAGGAAGAACTATCTGTAGTTATTAAACAGAAACCAACAAAACCCCCAAAATGAAGACCACCTGACAGCACAGCCTCCTTTGTTCTATGTTAAGGATGACAGTTAAAACTCCCTCTCCCCTCCTGAAACTTTCAATTTCACAAGAGAGTGCGGTGAAGTTTCCGGTGGTGCCGAGTGCTTGGGCTGGTGTGGGACGTCTCTGCTTTCCTCTTAGTTATCTACTGTCTGTATCCGCAGCCATAGAGCTCCAGCTTCCAAACTGCGCTGCTGGTACTCTGGAGACTGACCAGAGTTGTTAGAGCCACCAGCTGACAAGAGCTTTCCTGTAGACATGCACGCATTGTATGTACCAATTCAGAGCTATACATCTAGTTTCCCGCAGCAGAGTCTTAGGCTTCAACAAATTGAACACTTGAAAACAGCTGCTAGAAGAAATCTAACCTCATCAACGGTACGAGTCTTGCAAGTCCATTCGTAAACCAGCCACTTCCATTGAAGCAACTAAGGCCTGGACTTCACAATTTGAATTTCATCGTAACTACTACATCCTACTGACAGGTAAAACCAAGTGGATGAGGCCACGGGAACCGAACAGCGTGGCTTACCCCCAGGTCATCCTGCAAGTGGCAAAGCTCTTCGCGCAAATTTTTGAAGGTGGAAAGCACAAGTCTCAAAGACTTATCGGATGTCACTCTCATCTAGGAGGGGGGAAAAATGAAAGTGTGTACTTCCGATTAATTAGTAAGCTTTGTTTACAAAATGCACTTGACAATAGGCAAAACAGAAAACTGCTACACAGCTGAAAATAACTTTACTCTTAGAACTACTGCGCGTTATTCTTCGAAGTGCCCACAGTTTCTACAAAGAAACACACGGTCAGGCACTTTGTTCTGCAAATGGCATAGTTTTTTAATTGCTGCCTTGTAACACAGGATAAAATTTTTTAAACGGAATGGACAAGAGAGTAAAGAGCCGCATTTGTACACCAATAAAGGGAAAAATACACATGTTAACACTGCACGGTCATTTCTGGAGCATTCAGAGCTTTGTGATTTACGCTGATTTAAAGAAATAACCACCCTACCTGAGAAGCCACAGAGGAATGAGTCATCATCTTTGAGATCTGGCAAAGCACGCTTTCAGCCCAAGGGCAAGAGAATTTAATTAACATTTTTTAAAATTTACATTTAAAAAAGCCATATAACCAACTCCTCCCTTTAAAAGGAAAAAGATCCCAAAGATTAAAGGAGTCAACTGGCTGAAAAAGGCAGGCAGTAGTGCACAACAGCCTAACACTCTTTTTTTTCTTTTCATGCATGTTAACAGCTGTGTATTGATTCCTGTTAAAACACAAATTGTTGCATTTCATGGTACATTTCTAATACTTGAAAGAAGAAAGCGTGACTTTGAAAGAACACACAATTCCTCAAATCTTCGACTCACCTGGAAGGGCTGAATATTCTATGCAAAAGATGTATTTTTTTATTATCTGTATTTTATCTATATTATTATCAGTATTTTGTTTAGTATCTTTTATTCTGTATTATTTTATAACATTATTACAAAAAATTAAATCCTCCTGCCTGTTTCTTTTCCTCCGACACCTTCCCTTAACTTTATTTGTTGATCATTGAGGAAAAGGTATCAAGAGCTCCAGCAATAGGGCAATGGTTGTGTTCTTTTATCCCCACTGGTGCTATTATGTGACTGAGGCTTCAAAAATAACATTTCTAGTGGAATTTCAGTTTTGACTTACTGTTTTGTTGGTTTTACTGTGAAATCTACTGTAAGAGTAGATTAAAAAAAGGAATTAAGTCAAAATGGTTGAATTTAGACTATAAAAACGTAAGTAAACCTCCACTCCGTAATTACTTGGTGCTAGAGGTTGCTGAACTCCAGAGGTGTCATGTACTTCTACAGTGAAGTTCTCCATGCTGAGCCTCTGGGCATACCCGGAACAGTCTTTTATCCGAGACAGTTTGACACCCTTCTCAGATGTACAGACATATGACAGAACTGTCCGAGAGGCCTGAGGGGTCTGTAGTCTGAGAGCACCCTTTGTACCTATGCTGACAAAATCCAGTTCCCCAAAAGACATTTTAGCTGCCTTTTTTTTAAAGCATAGGTGGGAGAATGTAAAACCAGATGGACTTAACAGAAAACAGGAAATACGTGTGTCAGCTCTTTCACACAGAGGTGAGCTGAACCGGCTTCCTGGGACAGTACTCTCACATGAGGTCATGAAATACTCTGATGTCAGTGTCCTTCTCTATTGTAAAAGAATCACAGAGTAATTCAGGGTGGAAGGGACTTGGGAGGCCACCATGGCCAGGGTCAGCTGTGAAGTCAGACCAGGTCGCTCATTCACAGCTTTATTGCAATGGATTTTCTAACTGGGAGGCGATCCTAAGCTGCGGCTCCCAGGTAGGATCACCTTCCCCTACCTCAGGAGACCAGACCTACACACAGCGGCTGAGCGGTGCAGGTTGGTTTGGATCCTGTTCTGACATACCCACATGTCCAGTGGTTCTGGAGTCGACAGTGGGATCCACGCTACAGCACTGGTTTTAATGTTTTATCAAAGGGGGGAGCCAATTCCAGCCGGCTGTCTTCAAAGCATTTCATAAGGAGGTCAAGTGTTTTTCTCAAAACACCTTGCAGAGAGTATCACAGTGCTAGGAAGCCACAGAGTGAACAACCGTTCTCGGAGCCTTGCGTTCTTGTCCGACTGCCTTACAGCCAAGCCCACGTGGCAGGCTGAGGTGGCTGGGTAGCTGAAGAACAAGATCGGATGAAACACGAGCGCCATTTATAAATGGAACCAAAGCAGAAATGGTTATGTTTTGTTACCGACTGCCATAAGCATGCCTCAGAGGTCAGTGCTGTGTTGCAGGTTTTTAACCAGAACATACTACTAATAAAGGTGCCTTTAGCTTTTAAAGTAAAGCATTAATATACAACACAAACAAATAAAAAGATTAAAGATCTGGGTCTCCTATAACTGGTCAAAAGCCAAGATGGTTTCTAGTGAAACTGCAAGAAAGCACCAGTAAAGTGCAGTTTAAAGTACACAAGTAGTCTGGAACCAACTGCCACAACATGTCACTTGGAGCCACCCGTATGATTCCATACCCTTTACACCAGAAAAAAAGGAATACGTGAAGCATGTTACGTACACAATCCCTGGTATGTGTAAGCCAACTTACACTCTTGCAAGTTACTACAGGCTTCCACGCACCCCCTCCACCCCACTCAGGTACCTGGAGGAGATAACGAATCTGCTGCTTTGTTGCCTCAGACAGTCCTTTGGGAATTAAATCTTCAATATCTTCATTCTAAGCAAAGGAGGGAGGAAAGGGGAGATGTCTTGATTAAGAACTTTGCCTGGTAGATCATAATGCAGTTTCTTCATTAATTACACAGCTCTATTATGAAAAACATGTTTAGTACGAGGCAAATAAGAATGAAAATAGATCAAAGTGTATCCAGAAAATTTTCAAAGTCTTATATATGTGGCATATAAAAACTGAGATGAAGTGATACATGAAGCATGTATTTAAATCTTTGCATTTAACATTTATTTTAAAAGCAGTATTCAAAACAATCCTCTGAAGAAAACAACAGCTGACGCTGAAACAGAACTCACAGCAGTTTATGATAGGAGCAAATCGCATGTTTCTAAACAAAAACAGACTGTCAGTAAACAGAAGATGACCAGCGTCACAAGAGATGCTGCCAGGGATTACGTGGCATCGCTTCATGTAAATTAATCCTAGACCAGTATTTCTGCCACATACGCAATGCCTTGACAAGTACCGTGGGTTCCAGTGACTCTTGTGGCCTGGTTCACTGCAGGTGCAGGCAGTCTGTTCACTCGGCTTCCCTCCCTGCCCTGGCTGCGAGAGGCAGCCGCCTTCACTGCTCGCAGCGCATGGCCGCACGTGCTGCCGAACAGCAGCTTGACTGGCAAGAGGGAAAGATCCTTTGCAAAAAACGCGTAGTGAAAAGACATGGAGCTGTGTGCATTTGGTTTTCAATGACACCATTATTGGCACAACAGGAAAGACTTTCAAAATTTGACTCATACTGGAATAATGCAAATTGTTGATGCTTCCTTTCAATATTATCACATTTGCAAATACATGCCTAGCAGTAGGTTTCAGGCTCTGAAAGTTATTAACAAGCAAGAATCATGAAGTAACAAAGACCAGCACCCTTCATTTAAACTGGTGTGGCTTCATTTGCTTGAAGACCCACACCTTTGTTACTAACACTGCATGTCAGAGAACAGCTTGCTAAGAGCGTGCCTCATGCTTACCTGACACGTAAATTCAATGTCACGGTTCCTGTAAAACAGACAAAATCCAAGGGACTGATTAACAGAAAGCTTGTTGAGAACTTGAAGAATTCATGCCCACATTCACAACTACAAAAAGATGATCTTTCAAATACAGAGCAAGGAAAGTTCTTTACCAGATTATGAGCTGTCACCTTCCTTTTAAGGTGCTATGCAACACAAGCTGTTAAATATGACTCCATGTAGAAATATCTGAGGAGACTGGAATACTAAGAGCAGTCCAGTTAACACAGGCTAACTATCTCCGCTTCTTAGGGCAGTTATCCCAGTTGTGTTCAGTTCACCCAATTTCACTCGTAATTGGCTGGGTCACGGTTTACCCAGAACTATGCTGCAATATATTGGCATGCCTGAAGTGTTTACTTAGCAGTGTCAGGTTTTTTGTGATGCTTGAGTTCCACTTTTCCCCTGCTATGGGACCAGTTCTCTGATTTCAGTGAACTTGCAAAGCACCAAACGAGACTGGGAGTGAGGGGGGAAGAATGAGGTAATCTTGAGGGAAGGGGAAGAATGAGGTAATCTTGAGGGAAGGGGAAGAACGTTGTGAAGACTCAGATTCCTGGATGCTGTGGTTCTGCATTTCTTTTCAAAGACAATCTGTAGGGCTCTACATGCTTGACATTAATTTGCATGTAAATACTGAGCTTTATGCCTTACGATGGTCATCTTTTAATGCATGAGGTAACACCATGACAGAACAAAGGAAACAAATTTAGACATTTGGGCTGTTTCTTCCAGACATAGTAATAGGACTGTATCATTACATGTATGTCAGAGCATGCTGTCAGTATACTTCTGTCATACTGTCAGTATGCTCTGTATGCTAACAGGGTAGGATATGTAATTCTTATTGCATATTAGTCCAAACAATTTGAAAAAGCATCAAATTCAATAGATCTTCTTGGCTTACAGCATTGTTACATCTTCAGTTACTCAGAAAATTAGATTAATGTGTGAAATACATTCAATTCTAATTGTCAGGGGTGGGGGGAGGAACCAACTTGCAAGCAATACTGTCCTGTGAACTGTGCAACGCGAGGACTTCTGGAATACCAAAATGACAGAACAGATACAAGGCCAATACCTTCCTCCTATCTTTTCCACGTGCTGTAGTAAACAACTGTACAAGTCATTGGTCTTGCGGTT